ATAAAAAATAATTGATCTAACACATAATTCCCTAACAACGACGCCAAAATTTAAAAGCATTTCATATAACCATAAAATTGTTTATTTTTTTCCTTACTAAACCTAATTAAAAAAATTTTACTAGGGTAAGGAAGGGTCGATCTCATAGAGAATTAGTTCAATCAATTTTCTCTATTGTCTAATTGTCCAAAGTACAAAAAAAGGGAAAGAGAGCTTTATTTGTAGAGAATAATAAAGATAATCAAAGTTAAATAAAGAGGTAAACAAGAGTATTAGAAGCCTTGGTCAAAGGATAGTCTTCACTTTTGGTTCAATCATTGATTATTGATTCAAATATTAATCCATTCTTTTCATGAATATTCACCATAAACCAACAATGAGCTATGTTATCCCTAATTTTCCTTAGTGATTTGTTAATTAAAAAAAACTATTTAAATAATCTTTAACTATCAAAAAACCTAGAATGAGCTATCTGGATTTAATCTAATAATAGTATTAAGTAATAGAAAGATAGGTGAAGCTAAAAAAATTCCCCCACAAGCTAGGAGAATTTAATCTAGTTCTATGTTCTTTAAGAAATTAAATAAAAACTTATCCATAATCGGTAATCCCTAGTTTTTATAACAAGTAAAATTAGAAAAAAAATTATAAGCTTGAATTCTTAACTAGTGATAGATTATATAGATCAATTCACTAATGTACATCGTAATCAATCAATCAACACAATCATATTTTTATATTATAAAAAAATACCCAAAAAGAATTAGATTAGGAGTAGAACTCATTTAGATCTCATAACGGTTTAACCAAAGCTTTAACTTTCCCTTCGACCAAGCAAGAGTATCTAAAGTTGCATGGCTTTGCTTACAAAAGCTTTTTTTTTTTTTTCCTATCTATGTCTATATGAATGAATGAATCCCTAAAGTAAAATCATAAATTCTTAATTTATAGATAAAAGTAGGGTTTCAACACTCATGGAGATGCCTCATAAGGATATATGATTTTCTTGCTTTAGGTGCATAGTTTGTTCTTTGGATATACATGGTTCAAAGCCTTAAACTACTGGTGGTACATGACTTGCTTGATTAAGGTATATAGCCATGTCAAATTTTCTCTTCATCCCATGTCGTTTAGCTTTTTCTCATGTGGAATTTCTTTCTTCTTTGAGTGATAGGTCGGTGGTGAAACTCAAGGGTGTGTCAATGTTTTTGCACAAGCTATGCTTATTTCTACAGACTCATGTGTCTTCTTATGCTAAACACACATATGAAAGATCATGCATCTTAGTATGCAATCCGATAGGACAAAAAACATATTGTTTGGTTACTTAAATTGCTTAAATAAAATAAAGCATAAGTTAAGAAGTAAAATATATAATCATTCCTACTATTTTCTATAAGGTTTATAACCTTTAAGAAATATTTTCGATTCGTTTTCCTTAGTGGATTAGTATCTCATCCTCTAACATGCATTAGCCTTGAGTTATCTCAATAAGTCATACATGAAGGATTAGGTAGGTTAACTCCTTACCAATTACATCCAATGTAATTCCTAATCTCATTGGCATGATAAATCCTTATCATCTCACATCTTATGTGAATAGCAATCTTTGCCTACAAATTCGATGGGCCTTGAGTTATCTCAACAAGCCAATAATGACTAAGAGATTTCTCTCCTCATAACATTAAAAGACAATTAACTTGATATTAATTGGAAGGATTTATTATGGTAGGTCTCATCATAGTATGTATACTAGTCATTAATCATATTAATCCTATCATGCATACTATCAATCATACAATAAATACATACATCTCATACATGACTCAAGGATCGATGAATGGTAATGGATCTTTAATACTAGCCCTCTCGAGCCACAAAGAGACTAATCAATGAAGTATTTAGGTAAAAAATTATTACAATTTGTTTAGGATGTCTTCGCTTCTTGGCTTCTTATTCTTGCATCTATTCTAATATCCTATTTTCTACTTTTACATTTCTTTGAATAAGAAACCTCAAGTTACATTCAAGGAGAGTAAGATGAGGAGAAATATATCGAACGATAGAGAAGGCAAAATACGCAGGCCCTATTCAATAAAACATTACAAACATACATTTCTCTAAATTTCAATTTAAAGATCATGCAAGCTCGGGCCCACTTTGGGCACATGGGCTTAGAAAGCCTATGGGCTGCCACGTCTAGTGCTAGCAGTTGCCATTAGCTTGATGTAATCGTGCATGCCTAACTCGTTGATGGCCACTAGCTAGCACCTAGCACTTGCCTTGGCTGGTTGATTAGCTAGTGCTTACACTAGCTCTGGTCGTCCATAGGCTAGTACCTAGCATTAGCTCGGTGTCTATCCTCTAACGTGCTCATGCACACGGCCTTTACGCATGCATAATACACGATTGATGTGTGTGAGACATGCTTTGGCACTGGCTATAGGCTTGGTGTGCGCTTTCCATGTCACATGCCTAATGCTCGACCGATACGCCAGCGCCAAGGCGTCCCGGTATGTCATGCGCCTAGCACGTGAATGACTTGGCCGAAGGCTTGGCATGCTTGAGGCACACCCGGCCTATGTGCATGCCCATTGTTCAACTAGCTCTGATAGTTAAGTAAGCATGCAAGCGTCAACATCTAATGTCTAATATTGGCCTCACACACACCCACTAGTTTTTTAGTTCAAAACCAATTTTAAATAATTATAAAATACTAAAAATATCATGTTTATAATTAGAAATAGATAATTTAAGTAGTTAATTACAATTAAAAAGCATATAATTAAATATTCGATAGAGGTTCTAATACCAATTGAATGATTATGCATCCTATAGAGGTGTGAGTAAAAAAAAATATTCCTCCATCTAAGACTCTCAAGATCAATTTGTTAAATTAACTAGTCATATTTACATGAATTAAAATCATGAGTAAAAAATTACCTCTTGTATCACAAATTTAACCTTTGTAGAAAAAGAAACCATCTAAGTGTTCGACCTTTATCGATAATCCATACAACTTAAACACATACAAAGGAAACCATTAAAATCATAGAGTGCTAGCTTCAATCCTTTTATATAGTTTTTTTCTAAAACATTAGTTAGTTTTTTTTATGATAACTCAAGCTTTTACGAAGGGATACGACAACTCTAGCTTTTGGGAGAGAAACACTTTCTCTTTCTTTTTTTTTTTTGTGTGTCAATCTCTTACCCTTTCCACCTCTCCCTATTATTTAAATAGGGGGTGGCATCTTTATATGTGTGGACTTGTTTGATCTTATTCTTGTAAACCCTAAGCTTTATCCAATAGGGCTTAAGTTTATCCTCCCACCAAAATATCTTACATGCTTTTAAATTAAGCCTATTGGCTTAAAATCTTTTGGCCTAATTAATTATCAATTAATTTGAACTATCTAAATAAATTAGGTCGGATATTTTTAGGAATCCCATATTAGGAATCAATTTCCTAAAACCTTAAATCTAAACTAGGAAATTAATTTTCTTTTTAGGTAATTTATTTCTAAATTTCGAACTGGCTTCCAAATTAGGAAACTAATTTCTAAAATTGGAAACACTTTTCCAAAATAGAAAACTTTTCATTTTCAAAAACCTTTTTCAAAATTGAAAACTTTCAAAAACTAGAAACCTTTTACAAAATCTTTGTTTCTCTTTTAATATGTGAATGCTTAGACTTATACGTATGACTCAATATGCTCCTAGATATGTTGACAATGTATCAAAAATAAAAGACACCTCTTTTTTCTCTTGATATATAAATAAAGATTGACCTTTAGCAAGACATCATGATTGCCTAATTCTCTAAGAGGATTAATTAATCTTCAATTACCTTTCGTGAGCATGGTTACCTTACAATTCATTCCTTATGTCAATTTATCATAGTGTGATCTTACATTTGGTTTATAGTGTATTTGATTATGATGACACAAGTTTTATTCGATCCCTAAATGTCTTAGCTCTAAAGTAGACCAATTATGCTCTATTGGTATACTCCTATTGCGACCACATATTCTTTAAGAATATATTTATCAAAGTGTAATGTGATAACTCCTTTAGCATACAAGGAAGGAGTGACATGTCCTATCTTAGTCATCCACCTATCTCTATTAGATTCCTAGTGTACCCAACGAATCATTTATGTGCGGCTCTTGATCGAGATTATCAAAACAAGTGTCAAAGTATATAAATTCTCTATTGAGATAACCATGATGACTTCAAATCAAAGCACCAGTAGTGCTTATCTCACATAAGATTCGTATAAACTAAATCAAATGGACTCTCGGGGCAAGTCACCTCCTATGATATATTCTCTAACATTAATCAACTCAATGCTTGTTTTGGTATCGCCATGCCAATATGTGTGAGATCTTCTACTACTATCTTATAGCATAAGCATAACACTTATAAATCTTACTGCATATAGTCAATGTCCATTCTTGACAATGCCATGGCTTGAAAACTTTTAATGATATCATTTTAGTGTATTAATGTTTATCTCACATCTTTCGATCAATCATTAATGTAATGCCTATCATATGAACTTTTATTTAATTCTATCAAAATATAAATGATAAGAATTAATAAAAAGACTTTTTTATTAATAAAATATATAATGTAATATTACAATAAGTTAAACCATCCAAACAAGGTTAAATTTTGGGCTCCTACACTAATAACATATGGTTTCCTTCTTGGTTCCACACGGATAGTGACTTTTTCCTCTTACAAGACACATAGCATATATCTCTTTTCTTCGACTTGGCTATACATGTTATATGTATTAGGTCCTTTATGGGTTTGGGCTTGTATGTGTCTTGGCTTGGGTTTAATTACTTTGATTTGCCATCTTTCTTACAAAACCTACAATTGTTATCTTGTTATTAATTAGCTTAGTACAATACATAAATTACTAGTGAGTTTAATGTAAAAAGGAATAGATATTGTATAAATTATGCACGGATCACTATAACCCTCTTACAATCTTAAGCCAACTCCAACAGAACCAACCACCCATTTCCTACACCTAAATATCCTACCTCCCATAAACAACCTACATCCTCCACACTTTCTACAACCATAGCTTTTGGGCTGCCTCCGGGTCAAACCCTTCAACATAACCTACCAAAATCATCCTACAACCTACTAATGCTTGTAATAGTGTAGGTCAATCAAACAAGTCTTTTACCTTCTTATAGAATGCTCGTCAATCCACCCAACATCCTTTTTATAATCCTTGCCCCGAATTTCCTTTGGACCACTTCTAGCACAAGCCACCAAGCCCCCAACACACCCTACACCACCACAACAAGAGGGGTAGACCACTAATAACACCCCGTTACAACTCCTACGACCCACCATGCCGTAAACCCAGCAAGATCACCCTTCACAATTTCCCAACCACCTAACCACTTTTGTCACCTACAAAAGGGATCCCAACATAACCACGGGGAAAAGGAGGAACTAAATAATTCACACATAAATAAAGGAATAGAAAAACATAGTAAGGGGACGAGTTTTTTGAATTGAAAAGAAATAAAAAAAAGAAGCAATTTAAGGGAGGCTTACTGGGATTGAAAAAGAGTTAACAAAAAAACAAAACAAAAGCAAAAAAAGCAAAAAAAAAAAAAAAAAAAAAAAGGGGAAGAACTTTACCTAATCCATTAGAGTAGTAATTTCGTTCATCTCTTCTCCATTCTCTAGCTTAAGTCCAAATAGTGATAACTCCAAGTAAATGACTCCTTACTTTTCATAGTGTAAATTTTTTATTTTTTATTTATCTTTGACGAGACGATGGTAGTGATGAACATCACTACCATCCTTAAAAGTACCCACCCCAATCAAATATGACACATGCACACACATCCACACCTACTTTTTATGCAATAGAAGGATTCAAATTAATCCTAAACCTAGACAATTCTAGGTTTGAGTTTCCAAATTGGCATTTCGGGGATTTTAGGTTATAGGAAATTTATGGTTTTGAAATTTGACTTTTTTTTGTTTGACTAGAAATTAAGGGTTAGGGGTTTAGAAAGATGATTAATAATAGGTGATTAGGGGTCTAATTTAGGGATTAAACTTTGATTTAGGGGCAAATTGAAATATAACAAATTCTAGGGTTTTTGGGTTTTCAATGTAACAAAAATGAAGGATTTTTAGGGGAATTAGCTTCAGAGGACTTGAGATCACTCAATCTCAAGAGAAGTTGAGTTAATTAAGGCTAATTGAGGGATAATTAGGGAAATCAAAGGTTTAAGTTTTGGTCTTCACCGAAACAAATTTGAGAAAAGAAGGAGAAGTTAAGGCTCGATTCATATAGGGAATCAATAAGAGAGAGAGAGAGAGAGAGAGAGAGAGAGAGAGAGAGAGATAAAGGTTTTCTAGTGGGGATCAAAAGAGGAATGAGTCGGAAAAGATAATCTCTAGCTCATTTCTAGAGGAAGAAAAAATGAAAGCAAGAGAGAAAAGAGAAAGAGAATGTTTTTAGAGAATGGAGACAAGGGAAGAGCGAAGAAAAGAGACAAGGCAAAGCCTCTAGATAAAAGAAAATAGTTGGAAGCTAGAGATGAGGTCTTTAGTTTGTTCATGAAGAGGAGGTAGAGAGAAGAATGAGAATGAGAGAGAAAAAAGAAAATGAGGGTTTGACCAAATTGATTTAGGAGAGAAAATTGTTTTTTTTTTTTTTTTTTGGTTAAGGCTCCTTAAAGAAGTTGGTTTGGCTAAGTCCTAACCATGTGAGGCTAGACTAGGCTAATCTCATCCTAGTCTAGCCCACGAGAAGAAAAAAAGAAAGAAGGAGACTTGGGTCGAATTGGACCTAGCCTAATCCAGATCCAAAAAATAATAAAAAAGACAACAAGATGAGGAGAAAAGAGGAGGCCGGGACAAGTCCAGTGGGCGTGGGCAAATGGGTCAAAGGCCCATCGAAAAAAAAAAGAATAAAAAAAGGCCCAAGGCCCTAGTTTTATTTTATTTAACTTTGCCATGAATTTATTTTATGCATGTTTTTAATTTTACATTTGATTTAGATTTTAATGTTTGAGTCTCTTTTAATTTATTTAACTAATGTAATTTTGGACTCTTATTTCGGTAATTAGATGAAGTGATTAATAGGTTAACGAATTGTTAAGTCTTCTAATTTTTTAGGATTGATGAAAATCACTATCGATAAAAAAAACAAAAAAAGAAGAATAAAGGAAATGTTAATAATTATATTAGGTAATTAATATGTGGATGAATTGTCAATTCTCCTCAATTTTTAAGACTCGATGATAATTTCCTATCGATAAAAAATATAATAACAAAAAAAAATGATGAAAATAGAAAGAGTATTAGGAAAACAGAGAAAGAAAGGAAAAGAAAAAAAGAAAAGAAAAAGCTTTAACAAAATCTTCTATCTAATAGGGACGAGTTGTAAGCCCAAAAATCACTTTAGTAATTGGGGCATTCTCCAACACACTAGTTTTTTCGAGACTTAAAGTGCATCCGATGTTTAAACCAATATGTCTCTTGACAAAGACATCCAACAATTGATTTAATACAGTATCACAAATAAAAAATGCTTAGTTTGACATAAAAAAATATATATTGGATTTTAAATTGAAAATAATTAGATAAAAATATAATTTTTTTGGAAGATAAATTTTAAGATTAAGCTAAATGTGGTACCTTTTTTTAAAAATGGTGCTTTTAGGTGATCAATATATTCCAAAAACGTAACCAACTCCTTATTAAAAAATCTCTAGACTAGTGCTATGTTTAGGTTTCTAGTTCCTATAATATCGGTGACGACTCCCAAAATCAATAATAACTCACATCCCTAAAAATCATGAATAATTTCAAATAAAAACAAATCTAATTTTAATAATTTTTTAGAGTTTCGTCCGACGTTGGATAGTGACGGAATGACGACTCTGCTAGGGGCTTAGAGTTATGTGATAGGTTTTGACCTTTTGAATTTATCTCCTTTGTTTAATTTTTGGCATTTATTATGAAGTTATTTATTTCCTAAGTCTTTTATCTATTCATTTAACTAATTTTAAGTTATTTATTTTGTATAATTTTATTAATTTGAATTTTATTTCTTATATATATTGCAAGTCATTCATTTTTATTTCTTGTATTATTTTATTTACGTAATTGACTTTCTTACTCGTATTTTATTTTGAATTAAGTTGGATATTTTCTTTAAATTATTGTACACACCATGAGGAAATATATAAAAGCTATAGACTTGGACTAAAACCCTATTAATGTTTAGATGAGAGAGATTTAGAAACAAGTATTAGTCACAAAAATCATGATAGAACCACCTAGAAATGAGGTTAGAGATTTTGAGGTCGGATCGAGTGAGCCTAAATTAGGAAAGGAGACTGTTTGCTCTAGTATTATGTGTCAAAACTACCGAAGGAGCCAACTCTACTAATAAAATGGCCTAAGTAGGCCCACTCCTTATTTGTTAGGAAATGCTTACCCTTGAAGATAGATTTTACTTCTAGAAGGTTTATGATGATACGGCCCAATTGCTCAAGATAAATAATCCAATCTCATGCTTCTAAGTCATGATAGGAAATTGGGATCCATAATACTACTTGCTTCACATTTGGGACTATGAATCTTTCACCCATCATTGGAATAATATAAAGCTTTGTTGGCATTACTTGAAACAAAGGTGATCTACTTTTACGATCTACTCGAGTAAGCTCCGAGCACACTTTACATGGTTAATCGAAATTGACCCCACTATTGCAAAAAAGCAAATAATCAAGAAGTGGAAAACTCAATGGTGGTTTTGGAACATTCTCTAAACAGAATTCACGAGAAAACTTACAAGACCATGATAACGACCTCGGACTCGGAATCCTAGCATTAGCTAAATAGGGTTAGTGTTATTGCTATAAGTCGAAGAATGATTGAATTCAAGGCTGGTAATGTATTTAAGAGTGTGGTATCCCTCAAGCCCAACCCTATTGCTATAATTCTAGTAGAGGCCTTCTCATCATTGAATTTCTATCAAAGGAAAAAGGATAGGCATCCGAGATGCTATGTCTAATTACTTGTTTGTATAGACTATCGACCATATAGTGACTAGAAAGGCAATTGAAAATTTTCATGCACTTATCATGATAGCTTAAACTCCCAAGTGGCATAACCGACAAAGAAGAAGAGGAAGCTGGAAGAAACCCTTAATACCGAAGACCATGTAGTGGGTGCCTTAGAAATAGAAAACAAAGATCTCCGTGATTGATTTTAATGGGCAAAGTGAGTTCTAGAACAATTACAAGTAGACCATCAATCATTGAATGCTAAATACGAGAGTGCAAATGACCTATAACCTCTTTGGTGGAAGAAATGGATAATCTTAAAGATGCTAAGATAGGGTTCAAACTAAAAATTGATGAGCTCATGACCAAAAAGGCTAGCTTGAAAGAATTCAAAGATGCTACACGAGGACGGATTGCAAATCAAGTCGACATAATATCTTAAATACCCTTGTATAAAAATTAAAGAGAAAAGATAGAGTCAATCAAAAAAGAATGGTTAGATCTCAAAAAAAGTAAAAGCTAGCCATCTAAGCTGCAATGAAGGAATAAGACATCATAAAGAGAGAAGTGGCTGAATGGAGGTCAATGACCATGGAATATCATCTGCATGCTCGGAATGCCAAAAACTATGCCAAGAAAATGTAACCCACCATTGAGCATTTAGCAAATGGCATTTATCTAGTCTATGAGAAAGTTCATCTTTTCTATGAGAGATTTAGAAAACTCATAATTAGTGTCGCTTCCTATGAGGGTTTGAGGTCATGGTGAGACATAAAGCGAGGATCTCATGTAATAAGGCTTTCCTTGATAGTAATTTTTTTTAAATGGATCTAAGTCACATTTAGAATATGTTAAAAGTTCAAATTTCAATGTAACAGGAATGCTATTTTCACCTTTTGTTTTTTTAATGAAAAATGGCTCTAAGTCACATTTAGAATATACTAGATGTCCAAATTTCCAATTTCTTCGGTGTTGTCTTCCATGGATTCAATTATATCACAAGACCTATAAGTATACAAGATTATAACCAAAATAGAGGGCGAGATATGTCTTTTGAATTACCCAAGTATCTATGGGGTTTTGTTTTGCCTTCATTGAGTACCGACCTTAATCCGATCCATTCTTGGTAGAAACTCTTGCCATGATTTGATTTGCAACAAGTAAAGAAAGTATCTAACCTAGTTCAAAGCATATATATATATATATATATTCATTACACATATTTTTGTTTTAAATAATTTTTTAAGATTTTGAAACATAAGCTACTCCACCAAAGCTCAACTCCCTCCCTACATCCACCACACCCAACTCGGA